GTTCTAGAAATTTTTCGGACATTTCTGATTTCAACAGTGTAAATCCCTAGGATATTTCTTGATGGATATAAGGTCAACTATCTTGTCTATTTTAATAGGTATTTCAGATAAAATATTTTACTCGCATCGTCCATAGTTAATACTTTCAATAGCTGACATAATATGTAAGAGTTAGTACTTGATTATACGTGTTTATATTTTATAATAGAATTAAGATCATAGTTCAAGATCAAAAAATCGATATCAGTAATAAATGATATGGTAAAATTAACAGGAAAGTCTTTCCGTTGTATAGTTACTTTGAAGGGTACCGTACTTCCTAATTGGGTATGACACTTTAATAGACATATTACATATTTGAATTAAATGATAGGTACACCATTTCATATAAAAAATTTACTATAGCTTCTATTCTTATAATTTATTTGTTTTAAGTTAGTTGTTTTTTTCTAGTAGTAAGTAGTATTTCTATTCACCAAAAACAATCACTTATATTTTTAAATTATATTATACACTATTTTTATTAATTTATAAGTCATTGCCTAATTTATCACGGTATTAGTGTTATACTATTTTATACTAAACCAATGGTTCATCTTTGGAAAATATCTTAAAATTAGAMTAAATTTTTTACAAATGTTATTGTGTACAAAAAATATTCATATTATTATACATAATGGAAAAATGTTTCAAGTTCCTACGAATTCCGTTTTTTCTATAACAAAATAATAACTAAACTTTATTATGCGCTGAATAGAAAAAACAGGGATTAAAATTTGTATTAATTATGTATGTTAATTGAAATTTCAAAACATTACTTACTAATCAACTTATATCAATTTTTTTTTATAAAATATTATTCAATGAAGCAGTGTGAAAAATTGTAACGTCAATATTATATAATATCATGTCATCAAGTTATCTTAATTCTCTGTACTCAAATAAAGTGATTTTCATTTTTCAAATAGTATACATTTATCAAAATCATTATAATAATGAATTTGAAACCAGATCGTAGATGTTCTAGGGAGTTATAATGAAGATTAATTATTGTCTAACTAGAATAATGAATAATTGAGTTATGGTTATTAATAATGTCTCAGGTATGATGTTAATGATATTTTGAACCATACATAATTTTTCATTTTAATTTTAATTTTGTTATTATTATAGAGTTATGCATATAAGTGCTATTATTATAATAAAAAATTAATATTRTGGATTAAACATACATGTTGTGCTGGTAGTATATCTATCGTGTTTTAGAAGATTTTTTTATTTTTAAACTTTAAATTGTAGTTTGACAAATAAATCAGAAATTTTAAACTTATAAACAAAAGRCTGATTGGAGAATGGGTAAAATAAAAAAATTTTGACTTTGTCAACAGTGAAAATTACAGGAGATCTTACATCAATACTTTAATTTTTAAATGATTATATTGTAGCGATAGTAATATTTTGCCCGTTTTTTTTTATTTTTAAAAATTCTAGTTTTTATAACATTTATAACAAATATTTTTTAGAAAAATTGTCATTACAAAAATTGTTTACAATATTTCACATTAAATTATTATATTTTATTTATTTGAGCTCAATATTTATGGAACTACACAATAAGTTAGTGGTTTAGTTGCAAATATTGTTTTACGAGTAGTATACACTGGAAAAAAAAATACGTAGGTTGATCTCAGGTTTCTCCCACACCACTTAGTATCAATGTTTAATTTTCATCATTTTCAAGTAAATGGGAATGTATGGCTGGATTATTACACTAGTTACGAACGGTTTTGGGTTAAGGAAAATTAGTTTTTGATTATTGGTCTAAGGCTCTAAGTTATTTTTTTGAAAACCATATCTGCTTGAGTTACATTTGCTTCTGACTCATTATAATAGTTCATAAGAATTCACTCTAATAATTCTCATAATAAATTGATCTGCTTGTTTATTTCTGAGTTATAAGAATGAAAAAAAAAAATCAGAAATGTTTAAACTATCGTTATCATCTAATGGGTTACGAKCATATACTTTTTTATTTGTTTTAATTTATTTCCTATATGCATTATAGAATTTTTACCATTTTAGCCAATTTTAGCTATGACTACACAATTACTATTAACCGTAGACTTATTAATATATGAACTGCAGCACTGCGCGTTCACCATTTTGTTAGATGACCTTGATGAAATCATCAATATATTGATATGTATATTGTATATGAAAGAAATATAATTTAGTTTAAATAATTATAGTCTGTGTATTATACATATCATATATATAATGTATGATCCAGAATAGATCAATGGTTATACACTAAAATACTCAATAATAAATGATTGGTTATCAGTTTTAAATGTATAAAACATTTTTCAATCAAAAATTGTAAATGGGCACACACGTTTGCAGGGAGTGCATTTCCATACTCTATACATCACGTGCACATGACTATGATTCACAAGTTAAACAAATATTATGCTATGAAAGTTTTACTGGATATAAATTTACATAATTTATATATTAGTAAGTAGTTAAATAAATAAATAAACATAAATGAGTATATTCTACAAAATTATTTGTTCTAATAATCAAATAATAAAGACAATAAATAAGAAAAATAAAACGAACAAATAATATATACTGTTAATAATATAGTGAAATACCATCTAACATTCTAATCCTACATTCTTCAGGTTAGAGTAAGTTTATTACATCCGAGAAAAATTCTTGGATAGCAATATGTTCTAAGAAGGTTGACAATGCTAATAAATCTAGCTTTTTACTGAAATCGTATTAACATATATGCATCTAAGCATTTGAATGCTTTTAGAAACAAATAATGATTAATTCCTATTGAAAATAAAATAAAACCGCTTAAATGAAGGTATTGTCATGTATTACGGTGAAATAAAAATCAGATGTTAAACAATTGTATATAGGTAGATAGGGTGAACCTTACACGAGTTAAGTATCTATATCATAAACTCAATTATRCTCGACAGAAAMGTCTCTACGTGACATTAAATGCAACATAATATTGTATTAAAAATAATATTCAATTTATTATTTCGTTCAAGCTTGTAAAAGTCTTTCTCTTGTCACATACTTTAATGACATTTAAAAAACATTTGATCAAACTAAAGGCATTAACGAAAATGGAATTCCTCCAAACAAAATGTCATACATTATGATAAACATCTATGCTATTAAATACAATACCGCACGTATAATTTGATAATACATACACATCCGACAGGTTAACTGACTTGTGTGTGATAAGTCACATATGGAGAGGTGAAATTCCATTACCCTACACAAGTTTGTGAAGTGATCAAGACAGATGATGATATCGGAAACGATGATGTTTCCTACAATTTTTGATGATGACTGATGCCTACCTATAGACATTATAATTTATCTGCAACATCGAGAGTATAGGTTAGGTATATTATATACTATCTTTTATTTTTTTTAAATTTATAGTGTCGTGTAGCCAAGTAGATACTTAAATAAAAAGCAGCAAATACTAATAGGTGGTATATCGATTTTATCATAAAACATAATTGACGGTGCACCGTCAATTATTTTATTTACAGATATCTATATATTATCACTGTTTAAATATTGACCATATTTAATGTACACAAACGCAGTTGGATGGTTCCACGTGGAATTATCGGTTCAGAAAAATCGAGTAAAATCTTCAACAATTAATAATAAAAGCGCGATCTATATAGCTACGTAATCTCTACGAGTTAACCAGATTTTAAAATTGAGTACCTATGAATTTTTTGTTTTCTCAAAATTAACACACGATATATTTTAAGATTATCGGTCTCATAGCTCAGTTCAATTAGATGGTATCAGAAAATTGTGATTATAATTTCTGTGGCTATAAAATCGGCAAAGTCGATAACCAATGTATCAACTATTAACATTTCATTCACTAAAATATTGTTAGCAATTAATATTATAATATTTAAGTGGCTTCATTGCAATTATTCAACCAAACCTAAATAGTAAAATATAGAAACTTCAATGGACAATAAAAGAAATAAAAATATAAATTGACATAATAATTTCTGTGCCATGAAAACTTTMAAATGCCAAATGAATGTTAAACAAATAAAATGAAACTATGAAAATACTTTYCAATTAAACACCTGAAATTAAAAATTCATTAAAAACCCTACTAAAATGGTTGTAAGAAAAATTGTGTATTTAATACCATAGTCCATATCAATTAATTTCGTTTCCTGATAAGATTTGCTATGGACAATTTGTATGGGTATTATAATATTAAGTTATATTGAAATAGTAAAAAATTTGTTTGAAATAAGAAAAATTACTAAACATCGTAAGGTTGATGAAAATAAATATAGAAACGTTAAAATGTTTATATCAATAACCTTAATTTATTGTTAAACATATTTCATTTCCGTGCTTACTCAATATTATTTTGTGTAACATTCTTTTACGCCGATGTATAATAATTGAGTTGGATTATTTTATAAAATAAACATTTAATTTTAGAAAAAAATAAATAGAATAGACTAGTTACTAATTCACATATTCTCGAAAGTCGTGTTGTAAAAATAAATAAAAATATTTTAATTAATTTAAAAGTTAAAACGAACATCGCATATTATGTATAATATTATGATACTATAATTTATTTAAATATTGATATTAAACTTCAAGAACAACCTGAGGTAGTTAGGTATATATCCTACAGTTTTTTAATTAATTTTTTAACGCAAATATTGTTGAAGTGACATTTAAACACTTCAAATCGTATGCTTAAAATTACTTAATATATAATAATAATATTATACTTTCATGGTAGCTGTCAATGTAAATTCAACCCAATATAACTTGAATTTTGTAACCCAATGGCCTATGTAACTAAGAGTATATTTTGTGTTAATAAAAAACAAAAAATATTCTACTTTCATTCATATTTGTATTATTTCGTTTTTGGTATTTTATATTTTTCAAGCACTTACCCCGATGATGCGGTTTGGTCGATTTCAGGCCATGAATTTCTACGCCTACAGAAAGCCAGCGGATTCCTGGGTTGAGATATTTGTCTGAATGACCCGGTTCGCCTGGGCCCTGATGACCTGGCACAACTGCCACCATTACCTTGAGGTGTCACGATTCGAGGTATACCACTAACACTGCCTGTACTTGCTGAACGACTGGACGTRRCTGTAGATGCAGCCACCACAGCTGCAGCCGCATCGTCTCCATCTGGTCCCGATTCTTTGGATAGCGAAAATCGCTTTGGACTTAAGTTCAAGTTTGCCACACTACTGGTGACAATTTGATGAAGTGACGAAAAGAAGCTCATTTTGTTTGTTATTGTATGTATTACTTCATTCTGAAAAAAATAATTCTGCACGTTATGTATACAATTACAGATAATAGTAAATCTAGTTTAAGATATTWACAATTATAATTCTTGTAAGATAAATAATATCGAACATAAATATTATGATATGTGGAGATTCAGAATAACGGAAATTTTGATTACTACACTGGAAACTCAAATCAAATTAATAATCAAGATATTTTATCTATTAATTTATATTTTTTATTTAGTTATTGTGACGTGATTATTAAGTTTTATACATCTATAATTATATAAATATTTAATTATAAAACACAAACATTGTAAATCAATATTTTTCGGAATTAAATATTCACTTTAAAGTTAAGTGAATAAAAATAAGATTATGTAATAATTAATAGATTATCCTAATTATTATTCCAATATAATATAAATAAAATACCTATATTATAATATTCATAATAATTTATTTATATTTAACAGAGCATTAATTTTAAATAGGAATTTTATTAGACTTCAAACATTTGTGTTCACTTTTTATACATTTTAAATTAATTTAGTTGTTATCTCAAACATGGTTTAAAAAGTTGTTTGATCAATTTTATTTAGAATCCATTTTTATCTGAATTTCGCTACTAAACAAATGTGCAAATCAAAGTCAAAAATAATTTAAAATGTGAGTATAATTTTTTTTTAAAACATAAAATATCTTTTAGTCGTTTTTTTCTATTTCAGGTAAGATATTTTATTTTATTTTAAATTAATTGTGTGATTATATTGATTATATTGATCATCCGTTACCCATGAACAAAAAAATTGAACATAATCATAGTTTGTGGTATAAAATATTAATTAATATCTATTTGRTAGTCTAAAAGAAAAGAAAAAATACTGTTTTGGTTTCCGATATTTTATGCGTCACACATTAAAATTGGTTGCTATCAGGGATTTTCAAACAATTGATTTTAAATGATTTTCAATTTAATTTTTTTAAAACAAAAAAAAAATCGAAACACAATGATTTTGTTTATCTAATAATATTTTAGATATCTGCTACACATAACAGTATATATTACAAATACAACTAAAATATAAATAATACAGCTTGTTAAAATATTAAACTCTATGTTTAAAATCAAATACATTTTAAGTACAGTAATATTTTATAATAATGCATTTAGTAGTAAATTTAACGTTTTTATATTATATTTATAATTACAAAATTCCTTTTATTTAGTCATAAACAAAATTTACTAGCATACAAAATAATAAAAACTGAATAATTCTATTTTTGATTTGAGTCTGGTTCGTACATTAACGATAACATACATTTTATATTCAGTAGTTTCTATATGAGTAAAAAAAAAAAAAAACTACAAAAGTTCATTTAAAAAAGCCAAGTTATTAAATTAAAACCATTTTTGAATGTGGAGATTTATTGCAAGTTTCAAATTCAATATCAAAATGTATTCAAATATAACACACAATAATCTTCTTGCATCAGCATTTCTTTTTTTATTTAAATAAAAAAAATTCAAAATAAAACATTTTTATTTTT